GGGCCTTGCAGGGATCTTTCCCTCAAAAGAAAAAAGAAAAAACAAAATAAACAAGGAAATGTGTTTCAGCACAGGTAATTTTCTTCTACTTCTGCTCCCCCCCGTTTCTAACACCCCCAAACTTGGATGTGGTGGAGCCAAGGCTAGGCCCAGGGCCCCGCTCACTGGGCACTCTGGGGAGGGTGGGCACAGCGAGGCTGGAGTGACCCTCTGCCTTCCTGCTGGACCCTCGGGGGAAGAAGAAGGGCCCAGCAGTGGCCCCTGGGGCAACGGCTGCACTGGAAGCTCCTAGCTCAGCCACCCTCCCACCTTTATATAAATTCTCTGAATCACCTTTGCATAGAAAATAAACGTGTTTGCTTTGTAAGAAAAGTCTGGAAAGTAGCAGAGTGGTCTTGAAATGTCAAGGAAACCTTCATTCATCATCTTGGGGGCAGGGCAGGCAGTGTCCCCTCATGTTAGACCTGAAAGAGAAACTGACCACAGGCTCTTGCGGGGAAGAGGCTGGGAGCCCTTTAGCCGCAGCTGGAAACAATTCCTTACCTGGATCCGCAGGCCTTAGGCTGTCGTAGGCCTTGGCGGGGTGGGTGTCAGGACTCCGTGTGGGTGCGGAGGTGTGTTCTGGTGTGTAGGTGCCATGTGCTCCAGAGGCAGTGGCTGGAAAAAGTAAAACTGAACCCAGACCCTTGAGGTTAGCATCAGGACAAGCAAGCTGCCTCCCAACCCTGAGGTCCCACTTTGACCGCCCCAGACCCATACCTTACAGCCCATGGCCAGCAGGGCGTGGAGCAGGACGACAGCAGAGAGCAGCACGGAGGCCACCAGTCTGGTGTCCTCGCGGACAATGGGCCAGAGGGTGAACACCAGGCCGGCAGCTGACAGGGCCAGAGCCAGTGCCCCAAAGAGCCACTGGAGCCACGGGACAGGGATCAGCCACAGGACCTGGGGACAAGGTGGGCAGATAGCTACGAGGTTTCTCCAGGGCACAGCACACGCCACCCCCCTGGAGCCGCACTCACCACAGTGGGGATGAAGATGAAGAGGGAGTAGCCATAGAAGCACACCGTCTCCAAGAACGTGTAAGGCCCCATGCGCTCCCGGACGCCCTTGCGCCACTGCAGGAAGGCCCACAGCGCCAGTGGCACCAGCCAGGCGTAGCAGTAGATGGTGATGCCAGCCACTGTCACTGGGGGCAAGACAGGCAGTCACCTCTGGGGCCCCATGGCACCCCTAGCCCCACCAGGCGCTGGGCCTTGCCTACTTTGCTTACCCTTGTGGAACTGGGGGCTGTAGTGGATGGAGGGGTCCGTCCTCTGGGCCAGCACCACTGTCAGATTCCCAGTGATGGCCAGCACAAAGGCCAGTGTGGCACAGATCCAGAAGGGGCCTACAGGTGGAGTGCAGTCAGGGTCTCAGTCACAGCTTCCAGGACAGGTGACTTGTCCCATTTTGTCCCAGTCTTTCCAAGCTCTGGGCTGCCTCCATACCGGCCACTCCACTGACCTGACTTATACCCACCCATGTGACAACCTGGTGGTTGAATCCCGTGCTGGCTCAGTCCTCATCTTTTTGGCCTTTCATCAGCCTTTGATGTAGCTGATCCCCCACCCTCTGGAAAGAGTCCACACACTGACTTCAGAGTCTCATGTCACCGGCAATTCCTTAACTTATTTCACTCCCAGACCTCTAATGATGGGGAGCTGCTGGGCCCAGTCCTTCCCGCCCTCCGCCCCCACCCCTTGTTCGCTCTTTGCATGATCTTGTCCAACCTCAGGGTTTTGTGACACCAACAACTCCCAAACGCCTCAAGTGCGGGCCTCTGCCCTTAACTCCGGCTTCTATTCAATGTTTTCACGTGTGCACCTCCCTTTCCACCCCACCACACTCACTTTTCCCTCCAACCTGCCCAGCATTTCCTATTGATAAATAGCAACTTCGTGCTTGCCATGCTCCAGGCAAAAACCTTGGCACCTCTCTTCCCACCCTATATCTAGTGGGTCAACAAATTCTGTCAGCCCTATCCTTCAAGACACAGGCCAGAATCCAACCACTCCTCTCCCCACCAGGATCTGGATCATAGTAACTGTCTCTTCCCTGGCTTCCCAGCCTCCACCCCTCACCCCACAGTGATCAGAGGGCACCTGGAACACTCAGCTCCCTTACTGACACGTAGGAGGTTGTGCGGTCTGTCACCAGGCGGTGGCCTGGCAGTCTCTCCTCCAATGACAACGCGGCCCTGCAGTTCAGGTGTTTTTCCGCTACAGGGCTTATGCCCCTTCGGGAATGTTCTTCCTCTAGTTCTCCGTAGCTCAACCCTGACACCACAAGGCTCATTCTCACCCTCCTCAGAGGGTCCTTCCCTGACCAAACCACACAAAATAGCAACTGTCATCCTCTGAACTGACTGCTTCTTTGCAACCTCTGATGTCTCGTCTCCTTGAATAGTGTCAGGCTCATCCTCTCCGTGAGGGACTCTGCTGTCTTCTGAGCTGTACTATAGGGTCAGGAACACAGTTCACATTTGCTGAGTGAATCAAATGAGCTGAAAGCATAACCTCGCTCACCGTACAGGTCTGGGCGATTCCGCAGATGGTGCCGCACAAAGCTGTGGCCAGGCCGGGGAAGCAGCGATCCTTTAATCCGGTCCAGAACCTGGGGGCGAGGCCGGGCACAGGATGGAAGCCGGCGGGGGCCCCCCAGCCACAGAGGAAAGGAGCCAAGCTCCTCCCTGACCCGAGAGGCTCCCCTGCTGCCGCCCTCCCACCTCCTCCCACACTGCTGAAGAGGAATATGCACTTTCCTCTGGGATTCTGGTGAGCTGTTCATGGCCTGGAGCCTTCCCCTGACCAGCCCAACCACCATTCTGAAAGACTAAGGGCCTCCGCCTTCCTCTTTGCAAGGCTGCCCTGGACTGCCGCCCTTCTGCCTCCCCCTAAGGATAGACAACAGGTCCTGGGCATGCTCCCTCCCGCATCTCTCTCCAATAGGTCCTCAGACTCGTAGCCCTGGTTTACTATCATCTCTCACCCTGGCATGGGGCCTCCAGCCACTTCCATGTTGCGTATCTGCTCATTCCACTCCATCCTCTCCTGCTCTAGACCCTTCACGACTCCCCAGCTCCCTTAGGATAAAACCCAAAGTCCTTAACATCCCTCACAAGTCCCTTTGTGTGTTTTTACATGATTTAAAAATATATATATATTTTATTGAATTTTTTACAGAGAGGAAGAGAGGGGGATAGAGAGTTAGAAACATCGATGAGAGAGAATCATCGATCAGCTGCCTCTTGCACACCTCCTACTGGGGATGTGCCTGCAACCAAGGTACATGCCCTTGACCGGAATCGAACCCGCGACCTTTCAGTCCGCAGGCCGACGCTCTATCCACTGAGCCAAACCGGTTTCGGCCACAAGTCCCTTTGTGATCTGGCTTCTACCTGTCTGTCTATCCCCCACCTCTCATGCTCCAACCAGGATTAGGTGACAGGTAGCGTCGGTGATAGTTCCTGCCTTCTCTCATTTCTGGTCTGTAAATGATGTTCTCTGTGCCTGGCATATACTTAGGCATCCTTCCACCCTGCCGGGCCAAGCTATCCATCTTTAAGCCTCAGCAAACCCCTTGCCACCCCCAGGAGGCCTTTCTCTAACCCACCTTATCATGTGGCTTCCTGTGTTACCCAAAGCCCAGCACAGCACATCAGAACATTACAGCCACCAGTTACTTCCGCTAGCCAGGGTGGAAGCTCGTTTTCCCACGTGTGTATCTCCAACCTGCCCAGAGCCCACTGCACAGGACGGGCTCCGTGCAAAGTAGCTGAATCCCAAGCATGACAGCCCCCTCCCACCAGCTTCCCAGATCTGACCTGCGAGGTGTCCACATCAAAGAAGCTCTGATAGTAGCTAAAGGTCCAGAACCCCGGCTGCTGCTGCTGCTCCTGTAAAAGCTGCACAGGGTGGGCTTTCAGTGCCTACCCTGCCTGCCGGGGCCAAGCAGGGGCTGGAGGATAAGGGCACAGGGACATAGGGGACTCACCGCGGTCTTGTCGCTCTCCACCTCGTCCTCAGCTCCATAGCTACCACCTGGGTCCACAGCCACAGCCACGTGCCCCTCGGGGGGCCGCTGATCACTTCTGCTGACAGTGGTCACATTTGGGGTCTCTGCCAGAAGATTAGTGGCTTCCTCAAACTCTATCGGGAAAAAATATGGGACACAGGCGTGTTTGGGGGTGGGAGTGGGGGAGTTACGACAATTTGGTTTGGCCCAAACTGTGGGTACAAAGACTTTTAACTGTAGCCACCTCAGTGCTCTCCCCGACGCAGGGCCAGGCCTCCTCCATTTTCGGGAGAGGGAAGGAGTGTGTTCCCTCACTTCTAACAAGGGATGGTAACTGAGGGCTGGTTCTGGGATGGGGTCAGGTCTGGGGTAGCGACTCCGCTTTGAGGTCGGAGCTCAGGACTGGAGCAGAGTTCGAGTTAGAGCTGGGTTTCCTGCCTCAGGTCAGGACAGCTCACTGCAGCTCAGGTCCGAGAGGAGTTAGGACTTGGATTCGAGGTTCCGGCTAGAGCGGGGAGGAGGTCGGGCCACATCACAGTCGCACTCACCATGGAAGGCCAGCTCGTCGGCCGCAGCCATGGTTGCTCAGGAGCGTCGCCGCATCCCGCTCTGAAGACAGAGGCCAATCATGTCTGCACGCAATCCCACACGGCGCCCGCCCGGAGTTTATCCCTCCGCACCCAGCCGGACCTGGCGGTAAACGGTAACGGCTTGGGCGTGAAGCGCCGACCCTACCCACAGGTGCAACCCGCCCTCCTCACCTGACGCCCTCTCCGTCGGCGTGGCCAGGGGCTTGTGCGCCTGCGCGGCCGGCCTACCTGCCAATCAATCCCACGCATCCCAGAGAGCAACATCCGGCGCCGGTCCGTTTTCTATATTCTTCCGATGGGAAGCCACTTCCGACGATATTGGCGTCTGCGCAGAGGAGACTCCCGGGCCTTTTACTTCGCGTAGCTGTTGTTTCTCGTCGGAAAACGGACGTCAAGCCGGAAGGGAATGGCCGCGGCAGCTCTGAAGCGACTTTGGTTGCGACGCCGCGGAGAGTCAGGGGGCGCGGCAGCCGCAAAGCCAGGCGTGTGGACGAGGCTGGGTGAGTACGGCGGTGTGTGGCTGCTACGGCGAGACGCGGCGGGGTGGGCGGCCGCAGCCGCGGAACCTTCTCACCGCGCCTTCTTCCCCGTAGGCACCTGGGCCCGCGCGCTGCTCCGGGACTACGCGGACGCCTGCAGGGACGCGGCGGCGGCGGCGAGGGCTCGGCCAGGCCGGGCGGCCGTTTACTTGGGGTTGCTGGGCGGTGCGGCGGCCTGCTGCGCCCTGACACCGAGCGAGGCGGCCTTCGAGGAGGCCCTGCTCGACGCGTCGGGGACCCTCCTCCTGCTGGCGCCGGCCACGCGGAACCGCGCCTCGGAGGCGTACGTCCAGCAGCTGCTCTGGCTGCGGGGCCGCGGACGCCTGCGCCACGTGAGCCTGGGCCTCTGCTCGCTGGTGTATGAGGCGCCCCACGACGCCCAGGCCAGCCTATACCAGGTCCGCTGCCGCCACCTGCAGCCCCGTTGGGTCGAGTTCCCGGGCCGGGTTCTGGACGTGGGCTTCGTGGGCCGCTGGTGGGTGCTGGGTGCTCGGATGCGCGACTGCGACATCAACGACGACGAGTTCCTCCACCTGCCGGCTCATCTGCGCGTCGTCGGGCCCCACCAGCTGCACTCGGAGATCAACGAGCGGCTCTTCGATGAGAAGTACCAGCCGGTCGTGTTCACGGACGACCAGGTGGACCAGGCGCTCTGGGAGGAGCAGGTCTTTCAGAAGCAGAAGAAGGACAGGTTGGCCCTGAGCCAGGCCGACTCGCTGGTGGGGAAGGTCCGAGATGAAACCCAGTGAGGCCTGGCTCTCGACCCAGTCCCTGACCTTGGCAGACTGTGTGCTCGGGATTGTGCAATTGGTGTGAGTGAGCCTCAAGTGAAATAAATTATATGTAAAGTATTCTCGCTGGGTTTCCACAAAATGAGGAGGCCTTTCTCACACTGGTCTTAATGCTGTAGCTAATTCAGAACCGCCTTGGGCTAGGAGTTGGGGAGAGCAGATGTGACAAAATTATATAATGTTTACTGCTACCAGAGAGTAATGCGCATTTTACATAAATTGGCCTTTTTCATTGGGCCCCACCGCCCCCTTGACTGAAGCATCATATGTCAGATGACTCCCACGATCTCAAGCCATAACGATTTTCGTTCTAAATTTTGAGCTACGACGTTTATACTCCCATTTTAATGAGTAAATTGAAAGCACTGTAAACGTATTAAAGTTATTGTTTCTGAGTAAACAAAAAGTAACATAGGACATCCTTTGTACCCTGTCCCCAGCTTCCTCCAAATGGTAGCATTTTTTAAGCATTACCAAACTAGAGATTGACATTGGTGTGAGTATTTGGGTTCTTACAGGGAAACTTTTGTAAAATAGCCTGTTTTTATCATTTGTGTATTAATAGTGATGTTAAAGTGGGTTGGGAGGATGAAACATTCTCTGATCAGGAAATCTGTGTGAGATCATAGATGGTTATGTTATACCTCAGTAACCTTTAAAACACAGGATTGTAGGGCAAGGAACATGTTAGCTGGTACTTAGCTAGGTTATGGTAATCATACTTTAAAAACCTAAAGTTTTTACAGTTGCTTGCCAGGCCTGGAGGCAGCCATGGGGACTAAGCATCCCAGAGAGGTGGAGTCTCGGTAAAAATATTCTCTGAACTGAATCCTGAACTTGTCTTGTTGGTCAAAAGATTAAGATATAAAATTTCCTTTTCATTTGATAGTATTACCACCATTAACATTGTTAAGCCCCTCCCCCAAAACCTTAATGTTCCACGTAAAGTGCATTATAATCAGTAAAAAAAACAACTACTAAGTTTACAGGCATGATAGTTTCTCACCTAGGTGGCCTGTGGGTAGTTAATAAAACCAGGAGATGAAACAACCAGCTTTTTGATGATTTTGTGTTTTTGTGCTTTGCTATTAAGTTTTGGTATTTAGACCTTTCATTTGTATTATGGGTATCGTATGTTGGACACATGGTAATTTTTAAATACCTTATTTTAGGGACAGGAGAGCATCTTCTCAGCACTTCCATTTTCCAAAGCAAAAAAGTGAGGTTCAAAAAGTTCATTTCTCCAAGACTGTAGCAGAACCATGATTCAAACTGACTTCCAACCCTGTCACTTAATTCTCAAACTCATGGCACTATCTTTGATCTTAACCACATAATGTCAGAAATTATTAAATACTGTTATCGCTAACCAGACATGAAAGTTGAGTACAGAAATGAATATTTAAAAATGCAATGGAAGAAAAAGAAAGCCTAAGAAAAATAATGCTAAATCCTAATTGTATACTGTTACTTGTCAAAGGCTCTGAACCTAAATCCTGATGTTTTTGTTCAAGAGGGAGACTAGCCAACTTCAATGAAGGATCTAAGACATATTGGCATCCTCATGAGACTTGTTCCTCACTGTGGGCAGAAGTATTGGAAGAGGACTGCACATCTTGCTTGAGTGAGTTACTAAGAGCCACTTCTGATTTGCTGCCAGGTGTGTTCCGCGCAGACCTGCAGCTGGGGAGCTCAGCAGTGGCTGTCAACAAACTAAACAACTTGTGTGTGTGCATAACAATTGAGGGCTTGGTAACAGGCCTGCCATTGTGTGGCTTTGTCTTGGGAGGAGGGCTGGCCTTACCCAGAGGAGGCCGCTTATTTTTGCTCCCCTCTCGCAGGTCAGTTTGATGTAAGGTGTGCAGACTGGAGCTGTTAGGTTGGACAGGAGCGGATATTCCTCATGGCCTGCATCTGGTACAGACTCCCACAGGACTAGTCCAAGTCTCCTTGCTCATTGCTGAGGAGAGTGTGAGCCCCAGTAGATGCTGAAAGATTTAAATGACACCTGAAACTTACATACAGTAGAACCTCGGTTCATGAACTTAATTTGTTTCTGGAGGTTTGAAAACCAAAGCATTTTCCCCATTAGAAATAATGTAAATTGAATAAATCTGTTCCAGAACCCCCAAATATGCCATTTTAACCTTATATACAGTGCATGTCTAACATAGAGAAGGCAGCCGATTTATGATTCTTATCATTGGTGTTTCTATTTCTCCCTCTCTCTCTGAAATCAATAAAAAAAAATTTGAAAAAAGAAAAATATGTAGGAATAAATTTAACCGAGGAGGTGAAAGGCCTGTACATTAAAAACAACAAGAAACTAATGAAATAATTTGAAGAGGACACAAATAAATGGAAAGATATCTATGCCCTTGGATAGGAAGAATTAATATTGTTAAAATGTCCATACTAAAAACAATCTACAGATCCATTGCAACCCCTATTAAAATTCCAACGACCTTTTTCCCTTAAATAAAACAATCATAACATTTGCATGGAACCACCAAAGACCTAGGATAGCCAAAGTAATCTTGAAAGAACAAAGCTGGAGGCACCACGTGCCCTGATTTCAAGCTATGTTACAAGGCTATAGTAATCAAAATGGTATGATATTGGCACAAAAACAGACTCGTAGATCAATGGAACAGAAGAAAGACCAGAAATAGCCCTACATGTCAATCAATTTACGACAAAGGAGCCAAAAATAATAGAGCAGGTAAAAGACAGTACAATGGTGTTTGGGAAATTGAACAGCCACACACAAAAGGGTTAGACTGGTGTTGGCTGGTGTGGCTTGGCTGGCCTCGTCCCATGCATTGAAAGGTGGCAGGTTCAATTCCCAGACAGGGCACATGCCTGGGTTTGATCCCGGGTAAAGGGTGTGCTAGAGGCAGCTAATTGATGTATCACTTTCACATTGGTGTTTCTCTTCCTCTCCCTTTCTCTAAAATCAATTTAAAAAGTCTTTTTTTAAAGGATGAAACTGAATCACCATACACAAAAATCAACTCAAAATGGATTAAAGACTTAGATGTAAGACCTGAATTCAGAAAACTTCTAGGAATAGGCAGTAAGCACTTAACATCAGTCATGCTGATGATTTTTTGGATTTGACTTGGAAAGCAAGGGCAACAAAAGAAATACAGGTGAGGTTACAGGAAAATAAAGCTTCTGCAAAGCAAACGAAGCCATTGACAAAAATGAAAAGGCAACCTGATGAATGGGATAAAATATTTGCGATTACGTATCTCATAAGGAGTTAGTGTTAAAAATATAGAGAACTCATACAATCAATGGCAAAAAAAAATCCAATTAAGAAATGGGTAGAGGATCTGGAGTGACTTTTTCCAAATAAGACATACAGATGGCCAACAGGTACATAAAAATGTGCTCACCATCGCTAATCATCAAGGGAATGCAAATCAAAATCACAATGAGATGACAACCATGTCGGGATGGCTATTGTCAAAAAGACAAGTAATACATGGTGGTGGGAATGTAAATTGGTGCAGCAACTGTAGAAAACAGAATGGATTTTCCTTCAAATAATTAAAAATAGAACTACCATATGATCCAGCAATTCCACTTCCGGGTATTTATCTGAAGTAAACACTGACTTAGTAAGAGATTTGCACCCTCGTGCTCATTGCAGCCTTATGTATTATACAATAGCCAAGACACGGAAACAACCTAGCTAGCTACCCACCGATAAATGAGTGGATAAAGAAAATGTATATACATGCAGTGGCCTGTTTGGCCATAAAAAGAAGGAAATCTTTTGTGGGTGGTGGCGAAAGGTAAGGGGATGCTGTGAGGGCCTTGGGCACTCTGCTGGAACTCAAGGTGGGGGGTGCTGCCTGCCCCCCACCAAGTGCCGCACACCGCCCTCTACCACACGTATGTCTTTGTGCCTAATCATATCATTGCCAAGTCGTGCTTCTGGTACTTTGTGTCTCAACTGAAGAAATCCTCAGGGAAAATCGTCTGCTGTGGGCAGGTGTTTGAAAAATGCCCCCTTCGGACAAAACTTTGTCATCTGGCTACGCTACCATATCACAGTGGCACCCACAACATGTACTGGGAGTAGGGGGACCTGACCACTGGGGTGCCATCACCCAGTGCCACGGAGACACCCCCTCACCAGCACGTCCCCGAGGCCTACTCAACCCAGGTCACGAAGGTGGAGGAGGTCGCAGCCAGCAAGTGTTGCCCACCGGCAGTCAACCAATTCCACGACTCCAAGGTCAATCCCCACTGCCTCGCCTGGTCCTTCCCCAGCACAAGCCAGGCCTCACCCCCCAAGAAGCCCAGCATCTCTCAGGTGCCAGGCCTCCCTGTGTCTTGGTCTGCCCAGATCCACTCCTTGGGAAAACTGGTGTGGGGGGTGGGGGAGAAAAGCTTGCCATTTGCAACAACATGGATGGACCGGGACGGTATTAGGCCAAGTGATATAAGTTTGACGAAGACAAGTACCACATGAACTCTCATATGTGGAATCTAAAATATAGGAAGAAAGGAGCTCACGGGTCAAATTGGTTGCTGTTGGGGGGGAAGGGGGTGGTGAGGTGAGGGTTGGTGAAATGGGTCAAGGGAATCAAAAGGTACAAACTTCAGGTGGTAATAAGTCCTGGGGGTATGAGGTGGGTATAGTTAATGATGCTGTATCGAATGCTTTTTAAAACGTAGGGTTGAACCCCAGCTTTCACACTAGATTTGTGACTGACCGGGGACATCTCCATGCCTCAACTTCCTCATCTGTAAATGGGAACGATGCTGCTCAGGACGGTTAGGAAAAAATCAAACCTCCTGGAAGCATTCCCAGTCCCCGGTGTGGTTCTGAGGCCGGATGGGGTGGAGCTGGCCCAGGACCCATGGAGCCTGGTGCCTGGTGTGCGCTTCTCGGAGCCAAAAGGCACTTGAATCCAATGTGAACATTCTCCAGTTGTCCCTTCCTCTTAAAGTTTAGTCTGATCATTGCCACTTTTCCGGCCAGGCCAGCATGGCCTCAGTGCCGGCTGTTGTGATCAGAGAGGCCAGCAGAGGGCGCCCGAGGTTCAGTTCAGAGACCGGCCTTACCCAAACTGCTGGCCAGTTTGCTTTTGTTCTGAGAAGCAGCGGTGGAGGTGGTGCAGTCTGCACACTTAGCTGCTTGTTAGAGATGGTAGGTAGGCTGAGGTCAGGGCTGTAGGGCTCTCAGAGTTCCACCCCTTGCACCTGCCTCGTTAGCAATAGGAAGCCGAGGCCTACCCGTTGAGGCTTCCCGGCTCCCTCCCTCAGTGCGGGAGGGGCAGGATGGCCTGTCCAGTTCCCTACTTTTCTGGAAGTTGAATTGACCACTCAATGCTCTAAGCCCTGGACCAGGGTAAGGCAAGTGAGGTCCCTCAGGCACAGGTTTTAAGGAGACACTCCTTCTTGGGCTCCAGCAAGCACAGGGCCAGTCTCAGAGATGGAGAGCCTCCTTAAATGCTGTTCCTGTGGCCCCTCAAGCACTGTCCGTAGCCCTGGCCTTGGAGCACCTCCAGCCGTGATCACCCACGGGTGCCCAGGAGGCTTTTCCAGATTTGCTCGACCCTGACACCGCGAGCCCTTCTTTTAAAAAAATATATTTTATTGATTTTTACAGAGAGGAAGGGAGAGGGATAGAGAGCTAGAAACGTTGATGAGAGAGAAACATCGACCAGCTGCCTCTTGCACACCCCCTACTGGGTACATGCCCCTGACCAGAATCGAATCCTGGACCCTTCAGTCCGCAGGCTGATGCTCTATCCACTGAGCCAAACCGGTTTCGGCGAGCCTTTCTTTTTTAAAAATATATTTTTATTGACTTCAGAGAGGAAGGGAGAGGGAGAGATAGGAACATCAGTGATGAGAGCCATTGATTGGCTGCCCCCTGCACGTCCCCCACTGGGGATGGAGCCCTCAACCGGGGATGTGCCCTTGGCCACAATCAAACTGTGGTCCTTTCAGTCCGCAGGCCAACACTATCCACGGAGTCAAACCGGCGAGGGCCTTTTTAAAAAAAATCCTCGCAGCCAAAACCGCTTTGG